AATCGATATAATCAATAAAGTTACCTTGGTTAAATTTTTCACGAAATTACTTGATAATATTATTACACATAATATTCATATCTGGTTGCAGAATTTTTAATTATTTCATATTAAACGCAGAGGAGAACTTACCCCATATATCGAGTAGATTTATGTATAACTGCTACGTCGCGATACGATTATTACGTGTCAATCATTGAAGATCCCTTTATCGTTATGAGCGCTATATTACTTATACTTAAACACTTTATTTAAATACCTTTATGTTAAGATAGAAATAAACATAATTTCACATGATTCCGAAAATGGACTTTGTTCTTTAAAACAATAACATAACTATAATGAATCACAAACCTATTGGACTTCCCCCTAGTTTACTATGCGAAAATTGTGAACGCGTTCCGAAAAATATTTGAAAAGATAAAAATCTAATGATAATGTCAAAGACTATATAGCGCGTAACGAGAAAGCATACCACAATAACATTAACTAATATATATTCAAATGAAAAACGAAGTTCCCGCATCCAGTTATGAGTACGAACCCCACAAATATTGTCGTCGTTGTGTTTAAAAACAAAAAACTGAAAATAAAGTGAAAAGAAGTGAGAAATCCTACATTGAAAATTAATTAAAGTGCAAAGCAGTAAAGGAGCAAGAGCAGAAGCAGAAGACCTCCAATATTCCCAAGAAATCAGATTAATTAAAAAAACTGGTCAGAGGCGAGAAACACACCAAGCAAAAAAGAAAACTAGAAGCTAAATTGACAATTATTGGCAAAAAATGCAGATATTCGAATGACCCATTGAAAATGTCATCAAGTGAGACCAGTCGTTTCCATTGTCGTCATAGGACATTATATTCCTAGGAATTGCCGATAAAAACAATCGAAAATTGTTTGTGGCTACGTTTGTGTAACGTAACCAACCGCCAACAGAGAAATATATCAAACTTAGCTCAAGGGAGAACACCAACATCAAAAAAAAAGGAACAACGCCAAGTTACTAAACCTAACCAATCAAACAACCAACCAACCCGCAACAACAACAACAAGTTCAATCCAATTGAATTCAAACCGAACCACCACCCCAACAGCAACAACAACAACAAAACTCGATTTTTGAACGAATGATGCCAGCGGAAAACAATAAACTCATAAACAATGGTTATCTCCGAACACCGTACGTCATGAAAAACAATGGCCATGGCAGCGGTCCTGTGAATCGTATTACCGCCATCGATGTGGACGATGATGAGGAGGCCGCGTCGCGCTTTCCCAACGACGACACCACAGCATCACATCATTCCATCACACAGAAGGATGACAACAATGCCTCCGCCATTTCCCCGTTACTGGCCGGTGCCGAAACTAATTCCGATTTGTGCGGAAGCGATGCCAAGCCGCAATGTGCCAATAATGTGGGTCACATCAAGCATCCGACTGTGGTGTTTCTGGGCGGCGATAGTGGCGGCAGTCGCACCGCGTTACAGTGCAATGTGCCCATGTCGTATGCCAGCGCCAATCACACCCATCCGCCGCCACAACACCACTCGCCGCAAAGCGATCTCTTGCTGAAAGAGTCATCGTTGAGGTGTCGACTTTTGGTTTTGGCTGTGGCCTTGACTGTTTTGGGTGCTGCCATCGGAGCAATGGCCATATATTTTGCTGGTAGTTATCGCTGTCAACAACCGACCACAAGCCATAACCTAGATAATAATCAAAACTTCAACAATATCACAGGTGAGTGTTTTAACACATGGACATCCACACAAACACACACACGCACACACAAACAAATTGACATTCACATCCATGAATGCTAATTTGATGTGTTATTTGTTTCAATTTTTGTTTGTGTGTGTGTGAGTGTCTATTTATTATTGTTGTTTATTATTGCGAAAGTAGTTGCGAGCCATTTTTGAGGTTAATGAAAATCCGTTGAGGACAATGATTAACATTTTCACACGTCTATTTGTTTTGTTGGTTATTTGGGGCCAGTAGAAATGAGCTGTCAATATGCAAAAATTGTGTGATTTTAACAACAAATAGTGAAATGAGATTTCAAAACCATTTTCACATAGGCATAGGAATTTGCTACAGTTTTTGGTGAGATTAAAAAAAATCAAATAACAAATACACATTCAAGCGTGGTTTTTTCGAGAACAAATATAGCGTGGATTTTTTAATGAATATTTTTTCCAACACAAATATAGGCGTGGAATTTTTTAAAGAATATTTTTTTTCATATTCAGGGGTAGAATTTTTTAAGGAATATTTTTTTTTAATATTCAGGCGTGGAATTTTTTAAAGAATATTTTTTTATATTCAGAAGTGGAATTTTTTAAAGAAATTTTTTTCATATTCCGGCGTGGAATTTTTTAAAGAATATTTTTTTCATATTGAGGCGTGGAATGTTTTAAAGAATATTTTTTTCATATTCAAGCGTGGAATTTTTTAAAGAATATTTTTTTCATATTCAGGCGTGGAATTTTTTAAAGAATATTTTTTTCATATTCAGGCGTGGAATTTTTTAAAGAATATTTTTTTCATATTTTTTAAAGAATATTTTTTTCATATTCAGTGTGCTAAACAAATATTCTTTAAAAAAGAATATTTTTCAGCACACATTCAAGCGTGGAATTTTTTAAAGAATATTTTTTTGATATTCAGTGTGCTAAACAAATATTCCTTTTTAAAGAATATTTTTTTCAGCACACATTCAGGCGTGGAATTTTTAAAATAATTATTTTTATACCCTTCATATGTTTGTATCAGGCAAAAGGAAACGAGATAGACACATAGTTCCTTTTGAGAAAATGCATGGAATCACTTTTAAGTCGGTTTATGCATGTCTGTCCGTCCGTCTGTCTGTCCATGTTAAATTGTAAACAAAGTACAGGTCGCATTTTTGATTCGAATTGGGTGAAATTTGACATAGGTCACTTATTTGGCCCAATTCCGATTTAAGGTAAATGGTGTACCAAGGTCCCTAAATATCTTTTGATTTGCACGAAATTAGGCATAGCGTACTGAATTAAGTCTAGAATGATGTGTGCAAAGTTTCGTAAAAATCGGTTTAGAATTATATATAGCTCCCATATATAGTTTCGTCCGATTTAAGGTAAATGGTGCATCAAAGTCCATATATATTTTCGATTTGCTCGAAATTTCGCACAGCGTAATGAATTAGGTCTAGAATGATGTGTGTTAAGTTTCCTGAAAATCGGTTGAGATTTAGATATAGCTCCCATATACATTTTCATCCGATTTAATGTAAATGATGCACCAAAGTCCCTATATATTTTCGATTTGCTCGAAATTTTGCACAGCGTAATGAATTAGGTCTAGAATGATGTGTGTTAAGTTTCCTGAAAATCGCTTCAGATTTAGATATAGCTCCCATATATATTTGCGTCCGATTTTATGTAAATGGTGTAACAAAGTCCCTATATATCTTTCGAGTTGCACGAAATTTGGCATATCGTACTGAATTAGGTCTAGAATGATGTGTGCTAAGTTTCCTGAAAATCGGATCAGATTTAGATATAGCTGCCATATATATTTTCGTCCGATTTTATGTAAATGGTGTAACAAAGTCCCTATGTATCATTCGATTTGCACGAAATATAGCATATCGTACTGAATTAGGTCTAGAATGATGTGTGTTAAATTTCCTGAAAATCGGTTCAGATTTAGACATAGCTCCCATATATATTTTCGTCCGATTTTATGTAAATGGTGCACCAAAGTCCCTATATATCGTTCGACTTTCACGAAATTTAGCACCGAGTACTGAATTAAGTCCTGAAAGATGTGTGTTAAATTTCGTAAAAATCGGTTCAGATTTAGATATAGCTCCCATATATATTTTCGTCCGATTTAAGGTAAATGGTGTACCAAAAGTCTTTGATATGTTTCGATTTGCACGAAATTTGGCACAACGCAATGAATTAGGTTTAGAATGATGTGTGTTAAGTTTCCTGAAAATCGGTTTAGATTTAGATATAGCTCCCATATATATTTTTGTCCGATATAAGGTAAATGGTGTACCAAAGTCCCTATATATCTTTCGATTTGCTCGAATGATGTGTATTAAATTTCCTGAAAATCGGCTCAGATTTAGACATAGCTCCTATATACATATTCTTCCGATTTTATGTAAATTGTGCACTAATCGGACCCCAAGTTTTACGGATTGCCACACAATTTTGTACAATTATCAAATATCTACAAAAAATGCTAAATCACCTCAAACTTCTTTACATTATAACAAACGGCAATATTGTCCATATGTTAACCTAATGTGGCCAGTTAATTCTCAAAGAGCCAGAAAACCCTTATAAATGCTTGTCAAAACGTTCGAGGTCCAAAAACAGACCATCCATCATTTGGAAAAGTACTTGAAATTAATTTAAACATTCCTCCAAAAAGTAATATCTTTATCACTCATTCATCCATCCAATGGGGGGAAGACATACCAATATCTATCTACCTACAAACATACACATATTTTTATATATATGACACAAGGTATGTTATTCTGTCATGAAGTTAAGTGATAACAACATTCGATTAATTAACACAAAAGTACATCAATGTGACAATATGTATTTCCAGACCATTTGAAGTGTTTCGGAAATGTTTAAAGACCCCGAAAGAGGTTTGTACTACTAAAGGGAAAACACAACGGAATTCAACCTTGCCTTTAATAGAAAAACATTTCCTCTAATGATTGCTATCTTTAAAAATAGACTTCTTTCTACCCACATTCCATATTCCTTCTTATGTCAAGCGGACAGTTTCTTCTTATTCTCTATTTTTTTTTCTTTTGTGTTCATCTTATTTTTTCCCGCCATCTGTTTAAGATCCTTTAAGAATCCAACCATAAACGGGGCAATAACAAAAGCCATAACAATAATATGTTGGTTGGTCTTCAATGCTGAGCTGCAGAAGAAAAAAAAACGAACGAAACATAATTTCCTTTAATGTATCACCATCTGAATGAAGCAACAGGCAAGCATTCAGCTATGCAGCCTGTTGGCCAACTGCCAGTCAGTCAATAGCAAGAAAAAGAGACAAGTTTTTAACATTTCCATTTCCTTTTTGTCACTCGGCAATAAGAGAATGGACCAACCCAAACTTCACCTCCGCTTTAACAGAAAATACACAACCATATAAACGTTTATATGTGATCCCGATAATAGGTAGCATACCTACCTTCTGACACCCCCCATCCCACCCAATTCACTGTCATTCAACAGCAACAACACGACTTTATGACACACACACACAAATCATTTAAGTCATTTACGAGACAATGTACGATTATGGATGTTCGTTCGTCTTTTAAGTGTAGTCTTTGGAATGGGCTGTCACTTGTCAGCTTACTGGTATCCTTCCTACACTCACTTAACAATTCACATATCCTTTTTATATTTCCGGAAATAAAAGAGAGATAAGTATTTTTCAGGACTGTGGTTTGGTGGGCAAGGAATTTTTAAAGAAATATTTTTTCAAGCTAATATATAGTCTTGGATTTTTTTAAAACATATTTTGTCATCAGCATAAATATGCGTGGATTTGTATACCCTTCACCACACTGTGGTACAGGGTATTCACTTCAGTCCGTTTGTCCGTCTGTAGATGTTAAATTTTAAACAAAGTACATGTCGCATTTATGATCCGATTTTGATGAAATTTGGCACAGCTCACTTATTTGGCCCAAGGACCGAACCCTATTGAAATTGAAGAAAATCAGGTCAGATTTAGATATAGCTCCCATTTAGCACAGGGTACTGAATTAAGGCTAGAATGATGTGTGTCAAGTTTCGAAAAAATCGGGTCAGATTTAGATATAGCTCCCATATATATTTTCGTCCGATTTAAGGTAAATGGGGTACCAAAGTCCCTGCATATCTTTCGATTTGCACAAAATTAGGCAAAGCGTACTGAATTAAATCCAGAATGATATGTGCTAAGTTTCGAGAAAATCGGTTCAGATTTGGAAATAGCTCCCATATATATTTTCGTCCGATTTAAGGTAAATGGTGTACCAAAAGCCCTTAAAATGTTTCGACTTCCACGAAATTTGGCACAGCATACTGAATTAAGTCTGGAATGATGTTTGTTAAGTTTCCTGAAAATGGGTTCAGATTTAGATATAGATACCATATATATTTTCGTCCGATTTTATGTAAATGGTGCAACAAGTCCCTATACATCTTTTGATTTGCACGAAATTTGGCACAGCGTAATAAATTGTGTTCAGAATTAAGTGTGTTAAGTTTCCCAAAAATCGGTTCAGATTTAGATATAGGTCCAATATATAGTTTTGTCCGATTTAATGTAAAAGGGGCACCAAAGTCCCTATATATTCTTCGATTTGCCCGAAATTTGGCATAGCGTACTGATTTAAGTCTAGAAAGATGTGTGTTAAATTTCCTGAAAATCGGGTCAGATTTAGATATCGCTCCCATATATATTTCCATCCGATTTAAGGTCAATGGGGCACCAAAGTCCCTACATATCTTTCGATTTGCACGAAATTTAGCACAGGGTACTGAATTGAGGCTAGAATGATGTGTGCTAAGTTTCCTGAAAATCGGTTGAGATTTAGATATAGCTCCCATATATTTTCGTCCGATTTAAGATAAATGGTGCACCAAAGTCCCTACATATTTTTCGATTTGCACGAAATTTGGCATAGGGTATTGAATTGAGGCTAGAATGCTGTGTGTCAAGTTTCGAGATAATCGGTTCAGATTTAGATATAGCTCCCATATACATTTTCGTCCGATTTAATGTAAAAGGGGCACCAAAGCCTCTAAAAATCTTTCTATTTGCACGAATTTTCGCACAGCGTATTGAATTGGGTCTAGAATTATGTGTTTCATGTTTCGAGAAAATCGGGTCAGATTTAGATATAGCTCCCATATATATTTTCGTCCGATTTAAGGTAAATGGGGCTCCAAAGTCCCCATATATGTTTCGATTTGCACAAAATTAGGCAAAGCGTACTGAATTAGGTCCAGAATGATGTGTGCTATGTTTCGAGAAAATCAGTTCAGATTTAGATATAGCTCCCATATACATTTTCGTCCGATTTAATGTAAAAGGGGCATCAAAGCCTCTAAAAATCTTTCTATTTGCACGAAATTTCGCACAGCGTATTGGATTAGGTGTAGAATGATGTGTGTCAAGTTTCGAGAAAATCGGGTCAGATTTAGATATAGTTCCCATATATATTTTCATCCGATTTAAGGTAAATGGGGAACCAAAGTCCCTGCATATCTTTCAATTTGCAGGGATTTGTGCTAAGTTTCGAGAAAATCGGTTCAGATTTAGATATAGCTCCCATATACCGTTTTGTCCGATTTTATGTAAATGGTGCACCAAAGTCCCTATATATCTTTCGATTTGCCCGAAATTTTGCATGGTGTGCCAAATTTCGAGAAAATCGGGTCAGTTTTATATATAGCTCCCATATATATTTTCGTCCTATTTAATGTAAACGGTGCACCAAAGTCCCTATATATCTTCCGATTTGCACCAAATTTGGCATGGGATACTGAATTAGGTCCAGAATGATGTGTGCTAAGTTTCGAGAAAATCGGTTCAGATTTAGATATAGCTCCCATATATCGTTTTGTCAGATTTTAAGTTAATGGTGCTAAAAAGTCCCTATATATCTTTCGATATGTGCGAAATTTTGCATAGTGTACTCAATTGAGTTTAGAATGACGTGTGGCAAATTTCGAGAAAATCGGGTCAGATTTAGATATAGTTCCCATATATATTTTCGTCTGATTTAAGGTAAACGAGGTACCAATGTCCGTGCATATCTTTCGATTTGCACTAAAGTTGGCAAAGCGTACTGAATTAGATCCAGAATGATATGTGCTAAGTTTTGAGAAAATCGGTTCAGATGTAGATATAGCTCCCATACATCGTTTTGTCCGATTTGAAATAAATGGTACACAAAAGTCCCCATACATCTTTCGATAGGCGCGAAATTTTGCATGGTGTACTCAATTGAGTTTAGAATGATGTGTGCCAAATTTCGGTTCAGATTTAGATATAGCTCCCATATATATTTTCGTCCGATTTAAGGTAAATGGGGCTCCAAAGTCCCTATATATTTTTCGATTTGCACCAAATTTGGCATGGGGTAATGAATTAGGTCCAGAATGATGTGTGCTAAGTTTCGTGAAAATCGGTTCAGATTAAGATTTAGATTTTCGTCCAACTTAATGTAAATTGTGCACTAAAGACCCAACGTTTGGCCGTCCGGCACACAATTTTTTACAATATACTGAAGTTACTATAATTAAATGTTTTGTACGTTGAAGATTTTTAACAAACTCTTTTATATATGTGTTCGCTCATGACAAGTATATTTACAGAAATTTTGAATTTCTGCATGTTCATGGGTATTTTCGTTCCTTTGAGATGGAAATCTGTCCCTAGCTCTTGTGTTAAGCTTCGAGAAGATCGGGTTAGATTTAGATTTAAGTTCGTTCAATTTCATGTCAATGTTCCTTCGAACAGGCGACGTCTGTTAGGATACATATGTAGAATATACCCAAAGTGGTGAAGGGTATCATATAGTCGGCCCAGTCCGACTTTACTTTCTTCTGGTTTAAAAATATTTTTTCATCATTATAAATAGGCATGGAATTTTTTTAAAATATCTTTTCATCATCCCAAAAAGGCGTGGATTTTTTAAAGAATATTTTTTTCATCATCATAAATAGGCGTGGATTTTTTAAAGAATATTTTTTTCATCATCAAAAATAGGCGTTCATTTTTTAAAGAATATTTTTTTTCATCATCATAAATAGGCGTTCATTTTTTAAAAAAGATTTTTTATTTTATTGTTTGAATTTTGCCTATAGGGGTCGAGCTTAATGATAGTAGATTTGTAATGAAAAGAAATGCCAGGGGAAGAACCTCTACGACGCGTTTTGCAGTTGACATTAAAAATCTTCGAAACTACAATAACAGGTTATGTCAATTATTAGAACAGCCCATTATCTCTTCATTAGTGTACTATTATAATTTTATGCTATCTCTCGGTTAGTTTTGAATTCTAACATTTTCTTAAGCGCTTCATTAATTTTTACACATTAAATCATCAAGACAATCAATTTTGAATATAACACAATTGGTGTTGAATATAAATTTCGGTAAAATATGAATATATTTAAATTGAATTCGAATTGCCAGATCGATTTTACTTAAGGGAACCCCCCCCATTCTCGATTTTATTTTTTCAAGATTTTCAATGGGCTGGTAAATCAATACCAATGCTTGTTAAGGTTTGTAACTTTGCACATATATATTTGAAGATTTAAAAGAGAAGAAAAATAATTTACCAAAAAATTTTGTTATTGCTTTGTTGTTGTTTTTTGTAATTTAAGAAAAGTCCTTATTTTTGATGGCGGGCATGATAACTCGTCACTGGAACATCGGAATCCGAAAATTCCAACGGTGTTAGAAAGAGTACATGTCTGGCTCTCGTATGAACTAAGATTATTGACTTCGCTCTAAAATTAACAAAAAGGCGGACCTTTGAAAAAAATATTTTTTGAAAAAAAAAACCAAGTTAAAAAATAAGGAAGGTTTTCACCGATTGGCTTTATCCTAGTTCATACGATAGCTATACACTCACAGAGAAACGTGTAAAAATTTGGAATCGATTGGGTTTAGTTTTTGAGTTATCCTGCCCGCCATTCGCAAAAGAGAAAAACGCGTTTAAAGTTTGAGAAGGCATTTAGCCATCACTTGATGCTGACACAATAAATCGGATATATCTTCAAGATTTCTTGAGATTTTCACTTGAAATTTTGTAGAGACATTCTTGAATTAGTGTAGAATCGAATTAAATAAAAAAATTGACCCCGAGAATGGGGGGGGTCCCTTAAATTGGGGTTTTGCATGTCCCAACTCTACCATTGTCAATGTTATAAAAAATCACTCAACATTATTTAAAAGCTGTAACATATCCATGTTAACACCTCTTAAATTCACCTAAATGTTACAATGACAATTTTTATTATTATTTTTTATGAACATGTGACAAATTTTATTAAACAAAAAAAATATGTTTGCAAATAATTCCAGTTGACATGAACATATTTTGTGTAGCGAATTGTATTTTCATGTTTTCACTGTCACCCTAGCAAAAAAATGTCTTCACAATCTCTGCACAAATACTCTTCTGATTTAAGTAGAGGACTTTGTATTTCATTTTTTACACTTCGTACATAAATTATGACAGGTTGTATATATAACTGTGTGTGTATGTGATATGTGTATGCAACATGCTCCCTTTCATGATGTGGTGACATAAAATAATCATCAAAATTATTTAACTGATGACAGGTAACAAGGAAGTGGATGTTCGTATGTTCTCATAAAAAACAGCTCAGTGACTGATTAAAATAAATGTTCTTGAGATTTTTTTTATAAACCTCTTACAACCATTAATGGGGTGGGAGGAGTATTGAAATGCAGATTAAATATGAAAGAAAAGGAGAAAATGTTGAACATTTTTCATAGACTAAGGAAGCGGAATTATTTAAAAGTTTAAACGTAAAGACTATCTCAGGGTCTATGAACCATTTGTGGTTCCGCGGTGTTTTTATTTACCTCAATATTTAAACCCCTTCAAAAATTTAAAATTTCCTCAAAATTCCCCAACTTCTATTTTCCTTACAGAATTCATATCAGATAAAGATGACATCTGTTTGACAGAAGAATGTGTGAGAACGGGTAAGTTGCAATGCCAACGATATGTGTTCTTCAAGCTGACATAATTTTCTTATCATTTTTTAGCGGCCTACTTACTATCAGCCATGGATACCAGTGCGAATCCATGTGAGAATTTTTTTCAATATGCCTGCGGAACATGGAATAAAATTCATATAATACCAGAAGATCGAAGTTCTATAAGCACTTTTGAGGTAAGTAGAACAAGAAAAAAATTGTTTTCCATGTAACCATGGGTGTGGATTTTCTTAAAAAATAATTTTTTCAAGTAAAAATGGGCGTGGATTTTGTAAAAAAAATTCAAGTAAAAATAGGTGAATATTTATAAGAATATTTTTTCAATTAAAAAAAAGGCGTGGATTTTTGAAGAATATTTTTTTAAGCAAAAATAGGCGAGGATTATTGAACAAGATTTTTTAAGCAAAAATAGGCGTGGATTTTTGAAGAGTATTTTTCATGTGAATTCATAGGCATCTGTCCGTCTGTTGGTGTTTAATTGTAAACAAAGTACAGGTCACAAAGTACAGATGAAATTTGGTACAGCTCATTTGTTTGGCCCAAGGATGAACCCTATTGAAATTGGGGAAAATCGGTTCAGATTTAGATATAGCTCCCATATATACATTTGCGTCCGATTTCGTGTATATGATGTACCAAAGTCCCCATATATCTTTCGATTTGTACGCCGTGCAAAATTTCGCGCATATCGAAAGATATGTAGGGACTTTGGTGGCCCATTTACATTAAATCTGACGAAAATATATATAGGAGCTATATCTAAATGTGAACCGATCTTCTCGAAACTTGACACACGTCATTCTAGTCACAATTTAGTATACTATGCTAAATTTCGTGCAAATCGAATGATATATAGAGGCTTTGGTGGACCATTTACATAAAATCGGACAAAACTATATATGGGAGCTATATATAAATCTGAACCGATTTTCACGAAACTTAGCACTCATTTATTTTATTTACCTTATTTACCCATTTACCTTAAATCGGACGAAACTATATACGATTTTCGTCAATTTCATTAGGGTTCGTCCTTGGGCCAAATAAGTGAGCTGTGCCAAATTTTATCCAAATCGGATCATAAATGCGATCTGTACTTTGTTTACAATTTAACATCTACAGACGGATACAGACGGACTGACGGACATGCATAAATCGACTCAGAAAGTGATTCTATGCATATTCTCAAAAGGAACCATGTGTCTATCTCGTTTCCTTTTGCCTGTTACAAACATATGCAAAATACAAAATAACCTGTTCCACAGTGTGGTGAAGGGTATAAAGATATTTTTCAAATAACCATATTTAAAAAATATTTTTCAAATAACCATAGGCGTGGATTTATTTATTTGAAGTATACACAATATTTAAAAATATTTATTAAGTAAAATGTTGAATTCTATTAAAATTATTTTCAGGTTCTGGCAGATCAACAACAGGTCATACTCAAAGGAGTTCTCGAAGAACCCATTAATGCTCTGGATAATCAAGCAACGATAAAAGCAAAAATGTTCTACAATAGCTGTATCGATATACGTAAGTATGGACCCAATCGATTTTTTCCTCATGTTTTCACTTTAATAAAAAATATCCTCCCCCCATTTAGCCCAAATACGCAAAGTGGGTACAGAACGTTTAAAAAATGTTCTCAAATCACTGGGCGGCTGGCCGGTAATAGAACCCAATTGGTCACCCCCCAACATTAGTATAGAAGAATTGATTGGTACATTGCGCGGCGCCTATGGTGAACCTGTCCTAATTGAATTGTATGTTGGGGCAGATGATAAAAATTCCTCCATACACATATTACAAATAGATCAATTCCCCCTGGCATTACCCTCCCGAGATTATTATCTGAAGGCAAGTAGTGAAAACGATTTGAAAGCCTATCATAAATATATGACCCAAACGGCCATATTAATGGGTGCCAATGCCACAACGGCCAAGGAGGAACTAAACGATGTCTTACAACTAGAGGTCCAGCTGGTTAATGCCACTCTACCGGAGGCGGATCGTCATGATACCAGTGCCATATATCGTAAAATCACCCTACCCGAATTACAAGCTGAGGTGCCACAACTAAATTGGACATTGTTTCTGCAAACCGCTTTGGGTAATAATGTCCAGCTGAGACCGGATGAACAGCTAGTTAGCTATGCCATGCCATATCTAATTGAAATGGGTAAAATTCTCGTAAAGACCGATACCCGAACTTTGCACAATTATGTTATGTGGCGTCTGGTTATGTCCATAATGAATCACATGATCGATGATTATCAAAAGGAGAGGGTGGAGTTTCGAAAAATCCTATTGGGTATACAAACAGAAAGGGTACGATGGTCTCAGTGTGTCGATTGGACCAATAAGAAATTGGGTATGGCCGTGGGGGCGCTGTTTATTCGTGACAATTTCAATCAAAATAGTAAAGATACAGCCTTGGAAATGATCCATACAATCCGAGAGGCGTTCAACGAGCTGTTGGCCGAAAATCATTGGATGGATGATGAAACACGGGCGGTGGCCAAAGAGAAGGCGGATACAATGAATGAACGAATTGGTTATCCGGAAATACTAACCGATGCCAAGGAATTGGAAAAGGAATTTGTAAATGTAAGTATGGAAATTAAATGTGCCGATTTTTTGAGATGCTAAACTGTTTCCCTATTTCCTTCCAATCTCCAGCTGACCATAGCTCCTGACAACTTTATGGATAATGTTTTAAGTATCTTGAAATGGGAATCCGAAAAGAATATGCAACTCCTACGACAGCCTGTGGACAAGGAAAAATGGACCACCGAACCAGCCGTGGTGAATGCCTTCTACAATCCCAATAAAAATGATATTGGTAAGGGGTATTTTGAAATAAATTCCCACTGATTTTAATCTTTTTTTAATTCTTGGTATTTTTTTCTTTTGCAGTTTTCCCTGCTGGTATTTTACAACCTCTATTTTACAGTCAGCACTTCCCCAAATCACTAAATTATGGTGGTATTGGTGTGGTCATAGGACATGAAATAACGCATGGCTTCGATGATAAGGGTAAGCGTGGATTAAAAAAATATGTTTTGGAATGTAGCCCTGTACCACAGTGTGGTGAAGGGTATAAAAATCCTTTCTTCCCCAATTTTGTTACATCCACAACGTCAAGCCTAAGTACTTTCAGAGAACGCTCTGTTTGAGAATTCTCTAAAAGTCTCAGAAAATGTTGTAGCGGAACATGTAACCATGTTTTGAAAAAATATTTAAAAAATATTTTTTCAAGCAATCATAGGCGTCGACTTAAAAAATAAATAACCAAATTTAGTCGTACATTAATTTTATTTCCTTAATTTCATTTTTATCCTTTCAGGACGTCAATTTGACAAGGATGGAAACATGATGCAGTGGTGGAACAATGTAGGTCAAATCACAAAACTAAAGTATTTAAAAAAAATTTCTAAATTTTTTCCACCCTAGGCGACAATTGAAGCTTTTCGTGAACGCACCCAATGTATAATTGATCAATATTCCAAATATAAAATCGATGAGGTTGGGATGTACATGAATGGTCGGATGACGCAAGGTGAAAATATTGCGGATAATGGTGGTTTGAAACAGGCATTTAGGGTAAGTATAACTAACGATCCCTTTATTTTAGTAAAGAACGTTTATAATGTAGATTTTTCCCTTCTAGGCCTATAAAAAATGGGTACAACGTCATGGTCCGGAACAACGATTGCCCGGTCTAAATCTAACACATGACCAATTGTTCTTTTTAAATTATGCTCAAATATGGTGTGGATCGATGCGTCCCGAAGATGCGCTAACAAAAATACGTTCCTCTGTACATTCGCCGGGTTCAATACGTGTATTGGGTCCGCTATCAAATTCCAAAGACTTTGCTGAAGCGTATCAATGTGAGCTGGGTTCACCAATGAATCCCGTGGAAAAGTGTAGTGTATGGTGAATGAAGGGCGTGGGAGATGACTAACCAAGAAAGGCTTTACATTACAATTTCAAAAAATTCATTCATATGTACTCGTACTAAGAAGACTTCATCATCACAGAGAAAGAACAAGAGACATACACACACACATTTATATATTTATATAAATATATGTTTATGTATTAAAAAATTAAATTAAATTAAAAACAAAATATTTTACGATGATCTTATAGTGAAAATCAAATCTAGCATCTACATACATATATACATATTTTTCTGGAATATAACGAAGACCTAGCCTCCCAAAAAAAACCCCGCCTACCAAACATACATAAATACACATTAAGTCAATGTCATATCAATAAAACTCCCCCGAAAAAAAATCAAAAAACAAATTATAAGATACGCTATACGATTGTTGTTTGTTATCCCTAACGAAATGAAGCTGCAAATTTTTGTTTTTGATTAGAAAATACAAAAAATGAAAACTAGAACGGAAAATCTATAATTTAATTATAAATAAAATGTATACAGTTGTAGTACAATACAGAAAAAATAAGAAAACCGAAAACAACTAAACTTACAGAAACACACACCCTACATATGTGTATAATAAAGATCGTAAATACAAAACATACAAAAATATAAATTTAATGGATTGTTTTATTATTTAGGTGGACAATTAAAAAATAAAACATGAGGAGTTTGATGCACCATTTACTAAAAATCGGACGAAAATATATATAAAAGCTAAGTTAGGTTATATTAGTTTCAGTATGTTTTGTGCATGTCGGCCACATTTTGAGTTCGTGGTGCATCATTTACTTAAAATCGGGAGAAAATCTATATGGTAGCTCTATCAAAATTTGAACCGATTTCAACAAAACTTTCCACATTCTAGGTTATATTAAATCGGTACGTGGTGCAAAATGTTGTGTCAATTGGGACTTTGGTGTACCATTTACATAAAATCGGACGAAGCTATATATGGGAGCTATATCTAAATGGGAGCCAATTCCTACAAAACTTGGCAAACGTTAGCAATTCTAATTTCAGTTCATTGTGCAAACGGCCTAACTTTTGGTCTTTTGTGCACCTTTTACTTCAAATCGGACGAAAATATATATGGGAACTATATCTAAACCTGGACCGATTTTCGCGAAACCTAATACACATCATTCTAGATCTAATTCAGTACCCAGGAAAACTTTCGAACAAATCGAAAGATATATAGGGCCTTTGGGGCACCATTTACATTAAATCGGACGAAAATATATATGGGAGCTATATGTAAATGTTAACCGATTTTCACAAAACTTAACACACATCATTCTACGCCTAATTCATTACGCTGTGCCAAATTTCGTCCAAATCGAAAGATATATAGAGTCTTTGGTGCACCATTTACATTAAATCGGACGAAAATATATATGGGAGTTATATCTAAATCTGGACCGATTTTCAGGAAACCTAATACACATCATTCTAGACCTAATTCATTACGATATGTCAAATTTCGTGCACATCGAAAGATATATAGGGTCTTTGGTGCACCATTTACCTTAAATTGGACGAAAATACTTATGGGAGCTATATCTAAATCCGAACCGATTTTCCCGAAACTCAACACTAATCATTCTATACTCAATTAATTACGCTATGCAAAATTTCATGCGAATCGAAGGATATATAGGGACTTTGGTGCTCTATTTACCTAAAGTCTAACGACAATATATATGGGAGCTATATCTAAATCTGAACCAATTTTCACGAAACTTAACCATTCATCATTCTATACTCAATTCAGTACGCTATGCAAAATTTCGTGCAAATCGAAAGATATATAGGGTCTTTGGTGAACCATTTACATTAAATCGGACGAAAATATATATGGGGGCCATATCTAAATCTGAACCGATTTTCACGAAACTTAACACACACCATTCTAGACTCATTTCAGTAAGTTATGCCAAATTTCGAAATATATATAGGGTCTTTGGTGCACCATTTACATCAAATCGGACGAAAATATGTATGAGAGATATATTTAAATCTGAACCGATTTTTCCCAATTTCAATAGGGTTCGTCCTTGGACCAAATAAGAGACCTATGCCAAATTTCATCCAATTCGGATCATAAATGCGACATTTACTTTGTTTACAATTGAACATGGACAGACAAACGGACGGACGGACGGACGGACATGTATAAATCGACTTAGAAAATAATTCAATGCATATTCTCAAAAGGAACCATGTGTCCTATCTCGTTTCCTTTTTTCCTGTTACAAACAATTGCACATAGACATAATACCCTGTACCACAGTGTGGTGAAGGGTATAAAAAGGGGGTTGTATGGGGACTACCCCCAAAAGGGGGCCGATTATTAATTAATTTTTGTTAGGGAGATTTGTTACATTTACGACTCATAATACCAAATTGCAGCGAATTCGATTGAAAAATGCACTCAAGAACCCCAAAATATCGAAACGAGAGGGTACCATTATATGAGGGCTACCCGAAAAAATTAACCAATATTTATAATTTCTTGTGGAGAGATTTGCTGCCTAATAAGAACTCATAGTATTAAATTACAGCCAATTCGGTAGAAAAATAGGATCAGAACCCCCAAAATACCGAAAATTGGGGGTACCCTTATATGGGGGTTATCCGAAAAAATTGTCCTATATTTATAATTTTTAGTGGGGAGATTTGCTACGCAATAAGAAATCATAGTACCAAATTTCAGCGAATTCGGTTGAAAAACTCTCTTAAAACCCCCAAAATATCGAAAATTGGGGGTACCGTTATACGGGGACTACCAGAAGTGGACCTAAAATTATAATTTTTAGTGGAGTAATTTGATATCCAATAAAAACCCACAAAAACCCCAAAATTGGGATGTACCCTTATATTGGGGCTACCCAGTAAGAACTCAGTGTACCAAATTTTAGCGAATTCAATTGAAAAACGTGCTAAAGAACCCAAAAAAAAACGAAAATTGGGGGTGCCCTTATATGGGAGCTAGGCCTAAACGTGGACCGATACAGACAAAAGACAACTCCATGCAAAATATTGGCGGTCTATCTTAATTCGTTTAGAGGCTAAATTGATTACAACAAACGGATAAGCCAAATCGTCCTAGAATTTTACGCAGATCAAGAATATATACTTTATAAAGTCGGATAGGATTTCGATGAGTTACAAACGGAAAAACAAAATTAATACTATGGTGGAGGATATAATAAAATATATATATATGTATGGCGGTTTATACCACCCAAATGTAAAACGTGGACCGATATATCCCATTTTCAATACCAAACATCCAAAAAGTAGTAACAATGTTTATTAAAATGTTTAAAACTCGATATTAAATATTGCGAGCTCTATCGCGATTTCAACATACAGGCGAAAATGGCCAGGTATAGGATCTACTGTAAATATTTCGACGTGTTGTGGGATCATAATTTTAATATACACATAACGAAAACAAAATCGCCTACAATATTTGTTAGTGTTGTTGTTACAAAGACTATCTGTCAATACGCCTACAAAATCGAATATAATAACGAATATTTCAGGTATATGCAAATATATAATAGTTAATAATCCAACTCAAAGCTTGACTAATCGTCATAAAAACGCCTTCAAATACATATATGTTTCAATATATATTCACTAATAAAATTCAATAATAGTCTTTGATGAACACACACCAAAAAAGCAATAGTCAAACAACCGTAAACTGTTCAATTGAAATCTAGATAAACCTGTTTCAACTGCAAATATTTTCCAAATATTCTTTTATTCGAATATATGTATGTATATATATTTTGGTATGATTATAAATAAAAATACGTTGAGCATTTGTTTTAGAAGACATGTGTAAATAAGTATAAACGTTTTCTTATAACATAAAATATATATATCGCTTGAAATTATTTTTCTTTTAATTTAATAATTTCATTCTACAAAATATTAATTCATTTAAACAATATAGTTTTTTTTAATCGTTATATACATTCGATAAAGTTGATATAGTCGATAAAATAGTTTCTAAAATGTTTGAGCTGGTTAAAAAACACGAGTGAGCACTTTCGGAAAATATCTAGGGCAAGACGTCACAGAGGCATTTATAGTTAAACAAATAACGGATTTCTTTCATTTTAATTAATTAAAAATTAACAACGAATTTTTTGCCAACAACATTTATAATACTTTATGGACATTTTAAGATTGATAAATTAATTGTTTACAAAGTTTTAACGAAGGGTTTGTTTTTCTTTATCATGTTTTAGTTTTTTTAATAAATTCCTTGTTTAACAAAATTATAAGCAGCTTTTGTTTGTCTTTGTCATGTTTTGGTTTGTTTTAATAAATTCCTTGGTTAACATATATAGATATTTGTTTGTATACTTTAGTACCTCATACAGGTGGTATTCTTATTTTTTAGTTTTTCTTTTCTATTTTTCAATTAAAATTTATATTTAAAATGTCTCAATAGTTAAGAGCAAAATTAAAAGAAATTTACAATTAAATATTTGATTTGAAAACAAATTCGTTTCATATTAACACTGTTAATACGAGAGGTAAATTGTATCACACATAAATTGTTACTTTTTTTTAACAATAGGTACATTAGGAATATATGTTATACAACAAAAATCAAAAAACGAGATATTTTAATTTTCCATCTAGTTTTGTTTTAAATTAAGTTGTAATTTCATTGTCGTTATTTAATTCTTTTCGATTTCGTCGTCTTTGGGATCCTTCACGATTGTTTTCGATTTGCTGATTTTCTGGTCGCGACCAACTTTGCTCATCCGCACTAGCAAATATCAGATATATCAAGTTGCCGGCAATATTTAAACCCCCAGCCAACCAGAATACCTTACGCCACTGCAACATGGTCTCATTGTGATTGATAATCAGACCAATCACATAAGGTGCGAGGAATCCACAAATATTTGCAGCTGAATTAGTTATGCCGTACATTGTTCCGGCATATGATGGACTTAGGGAAATGTGATTCATTTGATTGCCGGGATAAATGGCCCCCGCAAAGGAGCCCACACCAGCCAACATAAATGTTACCCATTGCCAACTACAACCAACATAGCCAACACCAATCATACCCAAAGAGGGTATTATGGAGGCAATGGAATTCCAAAATTTATACGAATTCAAAGTGCTAATATAACGACGTTCCAACATCCAATCGGCCACAGCTGAACAGCCAATACCCACCAACCATGAAGTGAGATAGGGTACACTATTTAATACAGCATTCGATTGTATTTCGAAATGTAAAATATTATTCATATATGTAGGCAATTCGGTAAGTTGGGTGTAAAAAGCCCAACTTTGACCACACTGGGTAATTAAAATAGCCCACAGCGGTACTGAAGTCATAATGGAACGCCATGGTATGCTAGGTGTTGTTGTTGTTCTTGTATTGGAAGACATATATATTTGGTAATTATCATCGTCATCATCATTACAGCTCTCTGTGGCTCGCAGACTCCTTTGTTGTGGCGCCTTTTCCATTAACCCTGTACACCTTTCTATATATTCTCTTTCTTTGGTTGAAATTCTCGGATGCATTGATGGCTTGTCGTAGACCAAATACATCCAAAACGCAAACCACACTATGCCCAGTATACCAAACACATAAAAAGCCAATGGCCAGCCGCCACCAAATTTCAGAGAGCAAAGCCATCCGGTCAATGGCATCGATATCACAGTGCCAATATTGGAACCTGCATAGACCACTGCAGCGAATTTATTACGTTCATTTGGTGGTATCCAATGGGCCAACATAACATGCATTGCAGGGTAGGTAACACCTTCGCCCATTCCCTCCAAAATACGCACCAAAATTAACATGGGCAAATCCCAATAGGCAGCAATTGGAGTAAGCAGAGTAAAGAGGGCTGTTATCAGAACACCATATCCATAAATAAGTTTGCCACCAATCAGCTCCGCCATACGTCCACCAGGTATTTGTGTTAAAACATAGCCATAGAAGAATGAACCCAACACCAATCCCTGGGTGGCTTCGTCCCAAACGAAATCACCACTTATCGAAGGCGAGGTTTTATTTTGTTTTATCTCCATGGGACAGGTGGTGTCCTCAACAATGGAACTATTGTTTTCCTGCGGTATGGCTGTTTGATTGACCATGGCCACAATTGCCACCGATAAATTCACACGCATGGCATACACAACAGCAAATCCCAAGAAGCCCATTAAACCGAATATCGTGCGGGTGTTAATACAATCACAATCATCTAAATGGGAATACAATAGAGAGAATGGGAAAGATTATTTGTTCATTAATTATCATTTATATTTGAAAAAAACATACCTCTGCCTCCTCCTCGTATCAGTGGAGCATCTGCATCATAGCTATTTACAAAATCATCTTCTTCTGAGTCTGTTTCTGGCAGCATTATATTTCCACTGTAGTATTCCAAATCAGTATCTTCCTCTACGTCACTTCGAACACCCTGATTTGTCCTGTGTGATTCACGCCCGAGTGGGGTTTCTCCATTTTCCGTTTGCCCCCCTCTTGTTGTTTCTGCATTTGGTGTAGTTGTGAATTTGGACATATTATTTCAGATTTTTACACTTTGTCATTTACAGGCTGCAGCAGGCATTCCCGTCGTTTGTTTTTTTTTTTTTAATTTCTGGTCACTTTCAAAACAAGTATTTTTTATTCGTACTATTTATAATCCAGACATTAGTTTATTTGTGTATTTCTTTCTACGGAAGAGGTCTCAACCATATGTTCCAAATTGTTTTGCTGGTCTGGTCTGTCTTTACGCCAAGAACGTTTAGTTAGATATGAAGACTAAAGTAATTACACAGTGGAACATTAGGAGAAAGCCACGACACAATTTTATCTAAACCTTCCAAAAACAACAACACCAGTAATATACACACACCATAAGAGAGCAAGAGAGTCTGCGGGGGTAGGTAATAGTCAGTCAGTCAGTCATTCGGTGCTGTTTGTGGTAGAAGAGCAAAACAGAACAGAAACACAAAACCAAAAGACTCTCCAGCCAGCTATAAACAAATCCGACCAACTGTTAGAGATGTACTGAGCAAAAAAATATTGTTACCAACAACAACTATAGCACAAAAAACATCAACATTGAGGAAGTCTGACTAATGTTTTTTGTTCAAATGTGAAACAGCAAGAGAAGGGAAATCAACGAAACGAAAACACGAACTGACTGAAATGTAATGCCAATAGAAATGGAACAGGTCTCAACGACTTGATTGAGCTGTATATCAAAATTTAATTGTGGCGATTTAAGAATTGGGATCAATTTTGATATAGTGTTGACAAGTCGACAATTACGTGTGGGACAGATTATGTTACTCTGCATATCACTTCTCTAGATATTGTGTATGGAACAGGGCTGAAGGTGTAGAATATCTGACTGAATTATTAGCTTGAATATTTGTTGAAATTTTTAAATCTTTGTAACGCATAATAATAAATAACTCTTTAATAACCCCCCAAATTATCTAATGGGAATTTCATACAAATAAAATAGGGGTATTTGTATTCGTTTAAATTTGAAACCAATATATAAATGTTTGTATGTCCCTCTGATTGGTCAGCGAGATAACTCTCAAGGCCAGTAATAGATTCCATTTAAATTTTACACATCTCAATCGATAGCAATATCGGTCTAAAATACGAAAAGAGTAAAGTGATTGACCGACTTAACGATCTTGAAATTTAGTCTGTAGCTCTCAGATAAGGCTGGGCTTTGGAAGGCTCTTGAAATTCGAACTACAACGGTACGCAAAGTGAAAAGAGTAGTAATTTGTGTTTGTGCGAACCGGTGTTGCTAAACTTTTAAATTTGGAATGAAGACTACTGATAGAGTGTAGGGTAGATGTCCACAAAGGGCTTTTTGGAAATTCGAACTATAGGTTTCCGAAAAGTACTAAATTTGGTACAATTTCGTAGTATGTGAACGGATGGAGCTAAAAGCTTGGAATTTGGAATGCGAATCAAGGTGGAGAAGTAGGTTCGATATGAGGAGGTGGTTTTGGTAGTGTGTACTTATAAATATGGTACTAAATGGTACCATATTTTGTACAATTTGGATTTGCGAGAACTGACTGAGGTGGAAAACTGAAATTTGGAAGTAATATTACTATTGCATTGTTGAATTGAGGTATGTGTGTAATTTTGAAAATTTGTAGTTATGTGTACTAAAATAGGTAAAATTTGAATTTTTGGCGAACTGATATGGCTGGAATCATGAAATTTTTAATTAGGATCACAATAGGTATGTTTGGTTTTGGGGTATGTAGGAAGTTTCGGAAATTCGTACTAATGAGTACTAAGTTATACTAAATGGGCTAGAATCCTGAATTTTGGAAATATGATTTTCATTGGATTGTTGAGGTAAGTATATAAAGTAAAAAATGTATATTAATGTGTACTAAATTGTACTGAATGTTGTTGTGTTTAAACATATAGAGCTCGATTCATAAAATGTGGAATTAGTTTTGGAAATAAAGAGTACAAAAGGTAATGAGTGTTACCAAATTTAGTACAGAGCTAGATTTCTGATTGGTGTGTAGTGTTGAGATATGGAGGTAGTTTTGGAAAGACATGCTATAAGAGAACAATGGTACTGTCGATTATCCTGATAAGATAAAGGATACAAATCAAATTTTTGAATTCAGTGGCCCACAATCTAGGGGCGCTGAAGTTTCGTCCCTCAATTCGAAAAAAAAAATTACAGCACTATTCTTATTACAGCAAATACTTATTATTGTGAACGAAAACGTATGAGAGTTGTGTTTTGTAAACTTTTTAGCGCCTGGAAGCGACAAAGTGTTGATTTACTTATTATTTTATATTCAGCAAAACATGTCCTGTAAGTCGAGATATATTTTAATAAGCTGGCTGATAAATTTTATAAATAGAATACTTATAGGGGAATCCTCAACAAATTTAAAGATGAAATGAACTAAGTATTTAAGTATGGGCCTTTTAAAGAAAATTCAATTTTCCAAATTCAAACATTCTACAAAAATCAGATTATAGACGGAAATAAACTCATATTGAGGCTTGTTCCATATACTTGATGTATATGGCTTGACCATATACATCACCACCACCAGACATCGATTATAGATCTTGCGATACGTGAATTAAGCTTTTCCCTTGTTGGTGTTTTCGCAGCCCTATTGTTTCTACACAATTCCCTTGTAGTGCAATTTACCCACTATGTAGTACTACGCGAAATCAAATCCCACACATTGAATTAAATCGCATTACATAGTTTTAAACCTATTTATATGGACAATAAATCTATCATAGACCCATATTAACATGAGAAAGTAATACCCTGATCAAGAACATATTCAAATAAGTTACCAAACAAATAAACGAACCTACTATGCACACCATTCTATGTTAGAGGTAGATAACAAAACAAATAAAGGGAAAAATATGTAACACGAAAATAATAAAGCGTGTGATACGTTTAGTGAGAATGATTAATTCCACGAATGCATTAATACAAATTTACACAGACACATTAATATTATTTCATATATAATAAAAGTATTTATTGCAACATTTGATATCAAAAATAATGAAAAAAGAAGTTAAAGGCACGTTATCTTCGACACGTATTGGCTAATCTTACAATACACAATTATCAAAACAACCATCAAAATAGAAAGAAATGCATCAAATCGGATTGTTACAGCTTACCACCAAATTCACCAAGAGTTATTCATTCAATTTCAGTTGGCAAAAATACTACCAATGGGGAAAACAATCGACTTCTGTATGCCATTGTGTGGCAAAGTCTCATAATGATAATTCTTTTCCATGGCAACAAATGATTTTCCCTGGGTTTGATGATCTTGCAAAACAGTCAAGGGCATGTTGTAGCAGTTAATGAAGAAATTCTGGGATTTCAAAGCAGCTACCAGTTCGTAAGCATAGGCATGATTTTCATGCCAAATGGAAACATTTTGGAATGTCAGAGTTTCTTTGCCCACCAATGAAATTGCTTCTTTGGCCGTGCGGAAAGTGTGAAGGGTACAAATTCCTGCAACTTGGCTACCACCAAAATGTTCATGTGTGAAATCGCAGACCACAGTTGGACCACCAACAACTGTTATCACTTTGGCATTTATTTTCGTGATAGTTTCTAAAGCCTTCTTTAGTTGATCGCATTTTGTTACAGCATCATCCTTGGCATAGGCTTTCAATTGTGCCTGGAGTTTTTGTTCGAAATCGGCGCGAATTGATTCCTGCACTAAAACGCTGGCCATTGCTTTGGCACACAATGGATTTTGCAGTGAAGTGGTTAGATGGTGTAGAGCTGCATTGATATCACTATTTTCGAAAATAATCATTACAGTGGGTTGGCGATTTCCATCTGAGGTGGCAGATGCAATCTGAAAATGATATTTGATTATAAATATATGTACGTATAACTTAGGTTAGGATTGATATGAATTGTATCAAGATTTACATTTGATTTCTCCATATCGTAGTTAAGTTGCTTGAAAGTTTCCTCGGTTATTAAAACTTTTGACATTTTACTCCTTTGTTCCTTTGGGAATTGCGAATGCGGGTCTCCAATCTAACCGGGTGAACAAATGGCCACGATCAAAACAATAACACTGCAAGCATGATAAGAATTTGGTGTGGCCAACTCAGTTGTAAATGTTAGGGATGATATAGACTGCTTGATAATATCGTGCATTGATTATTGCGATTTTTCAGGAAATTAGTGAGAAATTATGCCATTAGTTAGACCCAGGTCCCCTCGTTGTATACTACTACTAGTTTTTTCCTAATATCATAAATAAAAAATTCGTTGTCGTAATAAAAAGTTAAACATTCTTGGAGGTTCCGAAACAGTCCGACTATTTAAACTAAGAGCTTCATTCCACGACGAAACCAATCTAAATGTCAAATGCGAATCTAAATTCTTTGGGTTCTAATATTTTCTTTCCCCAGGATCTTTGCTCTCATTTAAGACCGACATCAGATTTAATGCCTTGTGAACCGATTGGATAATTACCAGTTTTCAAACCAAGTGGCCGTGAGTGGCCGGCCTTTGGCGGATATTAAATACATTCCACTACAACAGAATCGCCTTAAAAAAGGTAATTTCTCCAGAATTAAAAACTTCTTCCTAATCAGGACTTCAATAGCTTTAAAATAAACACAACTCATAATACAAATTTCTAACAGACCCGAGCCTTAAAATTGTCTTAAGCTCAAACTTCTCTGCAATGTATTTACCAGCGCCAAACCCCAAATTTTTCCTGAAATCTACTTATTTTTTTTCTCCCTCCATAACTATTATTTACTTGAAATCTACGGTACGTGCGGGACTAACCCACTATGCGTTGCCAACTCCCATAACCTGCACAGTTGATTTAAAAACGTATCAAATTGTTGTAACTTTCGTATGTTGTCAAACTGACAGACGGACCACAGAAGCCATGTGTTTAGTTTAATACGAAGTTCTTGGTGTATTTATTTTTCTTTTTCTCCAGTTTTTCCATTCAAAAAGTCTTTCCCATTTCTAATTTCACACAATGGAAGTTGAAAATATTAAAGTTGATGATATTCTACCCACCCGAGTGGCTAAGAAGCGTACCCGCAATGATGATACCGAAATGCAAGTGGACGAAGCCACTGGCATTGAGGGAGCCGTAACAAAAAATCAGCCACCTAAGGCAAAGCGGGTTAAGAGTGAAGTGCGTAAAATTGCTGTACCACCACACAGGTAAGGAGCACCCGAGGAAGTTCATGCGGAATAACTAAATTATTTGGGGTTTTTTCAGATATTCATCATTGAAGGAACACTGGATGAAAATATTTACACCAATTGTTGAACACATGAAATTACAAATTCGTTTCAACATGAAAGCCAGACAGGTATGGGGGCATTTTTCAAATACAATGTGCAACGTGTTGCTCACTAAGTGTATTTCTTTTTTCTCTTTCAGGTTGAACTTCGTATTAGTCCGGAAACACCAGATATTTCAAATCTCCAAAAGGGAGCTGATTTTGTTAAGGCTTTCCTATGCGGTTTTGAGGTCGATGATGCCTTGGCTTTGTTACGTTTGGATGATTTGTTCTTGGAAACATTCGAAGTAAAAGATGTCAAGACCCTGCGTGGTGATCATATGAGCCGTGCTATTGGTCGTTTGGCTGGTAAAGGTGGTCGCACCAAATTCACAATTGAAAATGTCACCAAAACCCGTATCGTGTTAGCCGATAGTAAAATTCATCTCTTGGGTAGCTATCAAAATATCCAATTGGCCCGCCGAGCCATTTGTAATCTAATTATGGGATCTCCACCAAGCAAGGTGTACGGAAATCTCCGTAATGTTGTTTCCCGAGTTAGTGAAAGAATGTAAATACATAGAATCCGAAAATATGTATGTACCTCTATTGAAATGAAATGCTTAAAACAGAAAAAAAACTATTTAGGTTTAGTTGTGAATTATGATATATATTTTTTTAGATAAATTAAGTTATTTTTTTAAATATAAACAAAACAAACAAAAAACGCACAGATAAAAACAAAAATATTCTCTTAAGGGGGAAATGTTATTAGTTAGCTATCTATAATTTGGTAAATATAAGCAAGATAAGCATAAATAAGGTAATGCCAGCCAATACCAGGATTGCACACATTTTACGATTCTTCCGCTGATACATTTCAGCCTTTTGTAGCTGACGCACACCTTCCGATACCCGAGTTTGTGTTTGTTCTATGGAATAGTCAATACGATCCAGCACGGTACCTTGTTCCTGTACCATTTGCCCCAAATCTTTAAAGATGTCATTTAGGTCATAGATGCTCTTGACAATTTTCGAAACCTCCTCATCACGACTTAAGGCCATCCTGGTATTCTCTTCTTCAAACAGCAGTAATTGTTGTTCGGTCATACGATTTGCCATTGGCCTTTGGAAATGTGCATCTAATTCACTTTCTTTGGCCTCATCATCATCTTCATATAAATAATTATTACGATTTGAGGTTGTTGGTCCTGCCGGCTGTAAAAAGTTATCAAAAGAATCTACATAATTATCACGTTCGCCATTCGTGCCATTACTAAAATCATCAAAGAATTGCTGTGAACGTTCTTCGCGTGAATTCAACTGCTTCAGATAGGAATTTTGACTATAACGAAATTTCAATGTCAATTCTTGTAGACTCATCATCAAATAGTTGACAACATTTGCCGTAAGGCGTTGTTCTAATTTTCCACCCTCGCCTAAGCTATAACGTATACATTGTACATGCCGATGTGTTGATGTAATTAGCTTGGAAATCTCCTGACTCAATTCTTCCATTTCCAATTCCTCTTCTTTACTTTCATCGAAGGCGGGACGCAATAAGGAACGAGCCTGCAGTGAACCAAGTTCATCCAATTTGGGTTTTATTCTACAAAAGGGTAATAATACGATTAATTTCATATTCATTACTCATCTGATTTGTAAAACTCACTTTGACATTGTATACTGGGCTTCCTCCAATTTATCTATCCATGTCGGCTGGCTACCATAATCATCTCGTAGTTCCATACCCTCCTCAGCATCGTGGACAGAGCGTTTCAACAATAATTCGGCATCAGTGCCATTCTATTTAGGGTAATGCAAACAAATTAAGGGATTAAAAAAATCCATATTGTTGAATTTTTCGAAGGACAAACTCACCCTGTCATCAGAATACAAATTACGATTTTTGGATGCATTATTTCGCATAATATTGAATACCTCCGTTAAATTACGGGAAGACATTTTCTGTCTGTCTTATTGATTACTTTCAATTTTCAATATGTTTTTGTTTTTCCTGACTGAAAAGTTAATTCTTTTTTATTTTTGTTATATTTACGAACTGGTTCAATTGGCGGATTCTGTGTTATGAACCCCTGGAACTATTTGTAGTTCATTGAATTTTCTGAATGAATCACATTGCATAGAACAATGCAGGCGCAACAGCTGCTCTATCGGGGAAATGTCTTGTATAAAACCTTGTAGTAAACCATGGTAGTAAACATTAACAAGAGAAATATTAATAAATTTTAATTCTTAGATCTTAGGGCCGGCTACATAATAAAAAGTAATATCTTACTATATAGAAGAGCTTAGTGTTAAGTGAGTGACTGACGGCCGAGACGAAACGGCTAAAGCTAGAAACATGAAATTTTGAGTGTGGGTTGCTGTTGATGTGTAGGCGTGAGATAAAGCTAGGTTTTTGGAAATTCGACCTAGAAGGGTACGAAAAGTACTAAAATATACAAAATATAGTACCCTTCGTATTAGTCGAACGGAAAGAGCTAAAATACTGAAATTTGGAATATTTTTTCGGAAATTCGACCTATAAGTGTACGAAAAGTACTAAAATTTACTAAATTTAGTTCTAATTGTGAACATATTGCACATATAAAACTAGATTGAAAATTTATAAGGAATACAGGTTGGGAAGTGGTGTTGATGTATGAAAAAGGTTAAAGGAATTCGTACTTATGTGTATAAGTACAAAATGGTACTAAATTTGGTACTATTTGTATTTAATTGATTTATAGAGATGGAATCCTGAAAAGAGGAATTAGTACTACTCTTGGAGTACAATTACATCCAATTACATACCGTAATATTTCTTCCCTACCTAAATCAAGTTCGAAGATGAGAAATATCGGTTCACTCCTTCTGGTGCATCCCAATACAAAGTAATATTACATTATTTTAACCCTAACTTTGAAACTCCAATTTCATATTAATATTCAACTAATTTTGAAATGTTATTTATTTCACAAGAAATAATTCATAAGCCTAGCGTATTTTCCAATCGAAGTTGCTATAATTTGGCATTATGGACTTTTGGTGGGTACATAGCCCCCATCTGCTCAGTTTCCATATATTGATAGTCCTAGCGGAATTTTCAAATCAGACTATTATTAATATTAGGTTGGGTAAAAGAAATGCCTTTTTCGGGAGTTTGGAAGTTTTATTGCATCCGCCATACAGTCCGGACTTTGCACCAAGCGATTATCATTTTTTTCCTGGTGGAGGGTATAAAAGTTTTTGTTCTTTTAGCTCAATGATTCATATGGACTATGACAGGTAGATGTATCAGCAGTTCTATTGTGAGAAATAATCTGCCAACAAAATGTTTTTATTTGGCATAAATATATACTACATTATATACTGTCAACTTGTAAATAAAATGACCCACTTCATTGTAAATATTATTATTGGCAATGCTATCGTATTCAACAACCATTTTATTTGACGTATATTAGCAAAGCCAAATACCTTTATGACGAAAGCCTTGTACAAAGACATAAAAGTATAAAGATAGGACAATTGATACGTAAGCGATTTCCATTTTATTGAATATATTTTATTATACGTTTTTATCACACTGCTTATAAAATGAAAATATATTTTGATGTCTTTTTATTTATATTTTATTACACATTTTCGCAAAAGGAAACGTTTTTATAGACATATGGTTCCTTTTCCCCCTGAGATATTTTTTCATAGAATCACTTTCTAAAATGCATTTTGTCGAGTCTTTACGGTTTCTATGTCTTTGCCTTGTAGTTCTGAAATTAGACACTAGAGTAGTCAAAGCTGTAAGTCGTTTCTATTTTATTGAATATATTTTTTATAGCCTTCATCACACTGTGGTACAGGGTATTATGTCTTTGTGCATGTGTTAGTAAAAGGCAAAATGGAACGAGATAGACCCATTGTTACTTTTGAGAATATGTATAGAATCACTTTCTAAGTTGATTTATGCATGTCCGTCCGTCCGTCCGTCTATCCGTCTGTCCATGTTAAATTGTAAACAAAGTACAGGTGGCATTTATTATCCCAATTGGGTGAAATTGTGCACAGGTATGGCCAAAGTACAGCTTTATAGCTTGTACCTAAATATCTTTCGATTTGCACACAATTTGGTATAGCCTACTGAATTAGGTCTAGAATGGTGTGCTAAGTTTCGTGAAAATCGGTTCAGATTTAGATATAGCTCCCATATATAGTTTCGCCCGATTTTAGGTAAATGGTGCACCAAAGTCCCTATATATCTTTCTATTTGCACGAAATTTGGTATAGCCTACTGAGTTAGGTCTAGAATGATGTGTGCTAAGTTTCGTGAAAATCGGTTCAGATTTAGATATAGCTCCCATATATAGTTTCGCCCGATTTTAGGTAAATGTCCGAATTGTGGCATGGCGTATTCAATTAAGTCTAGAAAGACGTGTGCTAAGTTTCGTGAAAATCAGTTCAGATTTATTTATAGCTTCCACAAAGCTTTGCTTTGAATCGATTCACATGATGAGTACACCTCCCAGGGACGTACGCAGGGGGGCGGCCCTGGCCCCAGATATATCGTAGCTTCCATATATAATTTCGACTTATTTATGTTTATTGCACACCAAATAATCAATAGGTGTCTGATTGAGATTAAATTTTAAATGGTGCAGAATACCGAATAGAGTGTGTCAAGTTTGCTTTAAATCGATTTACACAAATATGTCCCACTGTGCGCAAACGACTCTAAACTTGCACAAATGAAATGAAATTTAGCATAGGTTCCAGAAAGACATAAAACCACTCATTTAAGTTCGCTTAATTTCATGTCGAAATTCCTTCAAAAAGGCGACGTCTTTTCGGATACATATGTAGAATATACCCAAAGTGGTGAAGGGTATCATATAGTCCGCCCAGTCCGACTTTACTACTTACCTTACTGGTTTATTGGATATTTTAGTATATTTTTTTTATTATAGAATACCTTTTTCAAGGATCCAAACTGGCGTGGATATATTAAAGAAGAGTTTTTTTCAAGGACCCAAATCGACATAGATTTTTTTAAGGAATATTTTTTTAATACTCACCAACATTTACTATTTTGAAATTTAAAAGATCATTGTTTTCTATTTTCAACTTATTCATTTGTTTGTTTGCTTTATTAATTCTTATTATTTGTTGTTGTTTTTTTCTTCGATTCAGTTTATATGAAATATTAATTTTAATTTGTTTATTACATGTGGTTTGTTGTTTGTGTGTGTGTGAGTATCTTTTGTTTGTTGTGTGATATTAACATTAACAATGTGTTGTTGTTTTCGTATTCATTTTATTTATTGATTTTTGTTATTTAATCTTTACTCATATTTCGATTATATTTCTTATTATGTTTTTTTTGTTTATTTCCTTTCATTTTAACATTTGTTCAACTATTTGTTTTTAATCAATTGTGGTTTTTTATAAATTATTTTATTATTTTCTTTTTTGATATTTTAACCTGGAATTTTTCTTCTTACATCGCTTTCCTTGTTTTTTTATTAATTTATTATTTTTTTGTAATCAAATATATGAGAAAAATCGAAATATATATTTTTGTTTGTGTTTTTTTGTTTTGTAATATTATTAACAATTCCATTTTGTTCATTTCATTTGCAGTTATTAATACCTTTGCTTTTTCTCATAAAACTTCTTGTTAGTAGTTTGGTATTTTACAAAAAAATTAGTTTTTTTAATTGTGTTTTTGTTTTTTTTTAGTTATTTTACAACCATTTTCTTTGAAAATATTTTTGAATATAACTATTTTGTTAGTTTTTGTAGTTGTTCTTCTTTTCTTATGGGGGTTTTCATTGACTTAGTTAAGCTTAAACATTATTTATTGCCTTTTTTGGAAATGTTTTTGTTGTTGTTGTTTGGTTTACCTTTTTTAATTAATGTTTTCTTTAAGGGATTTTTTTCATCTATTTAAATTATTTTTAATTTGTTTGAAGCTAAGTGGAATTGAAATGAAAAAGAAAATACAACAGAGAAAAAAACTTTATCCCAAAAATATGGAAAATATGCAGGAGAGCATGTGTACTTGATCGGCTGAAATCTGGCAAGTATAATATGGTTCCGAAAGATCATGGAAAAACTTTCTGATTAAGAAGCCAGGATCAAGGTGCGTAAATTCTGATTTTTTAATTTTTTTCAGTACTATCAAAGAAAAAATCCTTAATTTTTAAAATAATATTTTTTAAGGGCCAGCAGAGCTGAAATCCTGAATTCTATAAGAATATTCTTCAAGAGAGCATGTGTACTTGATCTGTTGAAATCCTTCAACTATGATATGGTTCTGAAAGATCATGGAAAGGCTATATCATAAAATTTTTTAAAGGACCATACACGAGTGGATTTTTTAAAGGCCCATACAAGATATAAACGTTGATAAAAAATATTAATTTTTCAAAAACTTTCTGACTAAGAAGTTAGAATCAAGGTGCGTAAATTGTTTAAAACAAAATGTCAAGGGCTAGCTGGTCTACAATCTTGGTGTTTTATTTTTTTTCAGGACCTTGGAGGAATTATCTTTAATGTTTAAAGAATATTTTTGAGGACTAGCAGAGCTGAAATCCGGAATTCTTTAAGAATTTTCTTCAGCGGGACTAAAATCATGGAGTGTTTTAAGCATTATTTGAAGGACTAGGATCGATTTTTTTTATCTACTTCTCTTTTAAATATTTCTTAAGAACTAGCAGATCTAAAATGATGGACTTTTCAAAGAATTTTCCTTGAAATTTTAAATACTTATTTCAAGGACTACCATAGCTGAAATCCTATATTAATTTAAAAATACTTTTAAAGGACTCGGTAATCTTTTAGAATAGGAGAACTAAATCAAGGACTTTTTTAAATATTTTTCAAGGATCAACAGAGATAAATTTCTTATGTTAAGGAATATTTTGGAAGGACAGAGATAAATTGTCGGATATACTTTTCAAGCT